TAGTTGAACTTGCCAGGTTTAGAGAGTGAGAATATATTCCATACAGAAACATGATATGTGCCATTCAAAGGATATTAGAAGGGATTTTTACACAATTTAACTTGTGGTAATTTGGGGGTAGGGTTAAATAGTGCCCTCTCCTATGAAATGGGTGTAATTCTATGATTAAGTATCTTAATAAATCTTACCGGAAGATAGGAAGAAGGTTTGCTAATTCTTGTGATTTTGAAAATGTTCATAACATTCTAACATGATTATAGTTTGACTTGTTTGTATTTGGTCCATCATGATCCTAAAATGATATCTGATAGCCCCTCAAAAGTTTGTGGTTGGAGGGATAGTACAGCCCTGCAAGTAGTCAACCTGGCTTTGATTCCCCAGCAGCAAATACAATACACCAAGCCTTACCGGAGTGAACCCTGAGCACAAAGCCTGAACAAAATCCTGAGCATCAGAGAGTGTGACCCCAAACAAAAACAAAACAAAAGTTTATATGTAACAGAAAAATACCGTGACTAGTTAGAAAGTGCCAGACTAGTTCCTGGCAACAACAATGTCAGGTTGGTGGAAACAAGCCAGCTCAGTTCCTTCTCTCTTCCTCATAAATTTGCCAAATCTTGATATAATTTCATTAAATTATTAATTTATATAAATTGTTTGTTATGCCCTAAGGTATAATAGTGATGTCACATATTTGAAACAAGTATCTTTCCCCAAGACACTATATAGATTCAGTATGATCCCTATAAGGATACCCATGAAATTCTTCAAAGAAATGGATCAAGCACTCCTAAAATTCATTTGGAACAACAAACACCCACGAATAGCTAAGCAATTCTTGGGGAAGAGACGATGGGAGGCATTACACTCCCCAACCTCAAACTCTACAACAAAGCGGTAACAATTAAAACAGCATGGTACTTGAACAAAGTCAGAGCTGCAGACCAATGGAACAGGGTGAAATATTCCTACATACAACCCCAAATGTATGAACATCTAATCTTTGATAAGGGAGCAAGAAATGTGAAGTGGAACAAGGAAAGCCTCTTTAACAAATGGTGCTGGCAAAACCCTCCATGATATTGAGGCTAATGGTATCTTCAAAGATGACATGCCGCTGACCAAGTGGAAACAGAAATAAACAAATGGGACTATCTTAAATTAAGAAGCATCTGCACTGCAAAAGATAAAGTGACCAAAATTCAAAGACAGTCTACAGAATGGGAAAGGATATTCACCCAATACCCATCTGTTAAGGGGGTGATATCAAGGATATACAAAGCACTGGTTGAACTCCACAAGAAGAAAACATCCAACCCCATCAAAAAATGGATCTCTGGGAGCAGAGATCCTCTGTCTGCTTCCCCAGTCTCCGCGATGATGGGGTCATACCTATAAACCGCTCTCTGCTGCATCCAGATAATCTCCTCATTGGCCGCCCTCCAGAACTCTCGGCTGTTTCTCCTGGAAGGGAGCAAAAAAATTTTCAGAAAAAAATTTCATCATTTGAAATGATCAGAAACTTTGTCAAAGAAGAAATTTGAATGGCTATAAGGCACATGAGAAAATGCTCTTCATCACGAATCATCAGGGAGATGCAGATCAAAACAACAATGAGATATCATCTCACACTGCAGAGACTGGCCCACATCCAAAAGAACAAAAGCAACCTGTGTTGGCGCGGATGTGGCGAGAAAGGGACCCTCCTCCACTGCTGGTGGAATGCCGACTGGTTCAGCCCTTTTGGAAAACAGTATGGACTATTCTAAAAAAATTAGAAATTGAGCTCCCATTTGATCCAGCAATACCCCTCCTGGGAATATGTCCGGGAGAGGCAAAAATGTATAGCTGAAATGACACCTGCACCTGTATGTTCATTGCTGCATTGTTCACAATAGGAAAAAACCCTAGTGCCCAAGAATAGATGACTGGTTAAAGAAACTTTGGTACATCTACACAATGGAATACTATGCAGCTGTTAGAAAATATGAAGTCATGAAATTTGCATACAAGTGGTTCAACATGGAAAGTATCTGCTAAGTGAAATAAGTCAGAAAGAGAGGGACAGACACAGAAAGACTGCATTTATCTGGGGAATATAAAGTAACAGAATGGGAGACGAGCACACAAGAATAGTTGAGATAAGTACCAGGAGGTCTGCTCCATGACTTTGAAGCTGGCAGCAGATGCTGGGGGAAAGGCAGCTTAGATAAAGAAGGGAACACCAAGTGAAGGGTGTTTGGAGGATTCACTCAGGATGCGAGATGTATGCTGAAAGTAGACTATAGCCGAACACGATGGCCACTCAATACCTCTATTGCAAACCACAACACCCTACAGAAGAGAGAGCAAAAGAGAATGTCCTGCCACAGAGGAGAGTCAGGGTGGGAGGGCTACTGGGTTCATTGGTTGTAGAGGGATGGGTACTCTATCATTGTATAACTGAAACCCAAGCACAAAAGTTTGTAAGTCTACAACTGTACCTCATGGTGTTTCACTAATAAAATAAATTTTTAAAGATAGAATGAAAAAGACTTTTTAACACATATGAACAATGATCTTATTTTAAACTTTCTGGCACTGCTAATATAAATTATCAATCAGATATTTGCTTTGTAAATAAACAAAATAAACAAAGCAAATATCTGATTGATAATTTATATTAGCAGTGCCAGAAATTTTAAAAATAAGGTCATTGTTCATATGTGTTAAAAAGTCTTTTTCATTTTATCTTTAAAAATTATTCACAGGCATACATGCTATTATTAAAATTCTTATTTTGATAGTATTATCTTATTAAAATATACATAAGTTAACCATATTTGCAAATTATTTAGTATATATTTAAGGTAAGGTAAAGGTAAAGGTAAAGGCCCTCCCGTTGATCGTCGATTTACTCGAGCGGGCCCAGTAACGTCTCCAATTGGAGACTTTGTTGTTACTGTGTTTGGCATATCGAATACTCTCGGTAGCTTGCCGGGCTCTCCGAGAGGGGCGGAGGAATCGAACTCGGGTCGGCCATGTTGGCTGCGTGTAAGGCGAACGCCCTACCGCTGTGCTATCACTACAGCCATATTTAAAATATAAAACATTTAAATATTGAATTTTGAGGGGCTGGAGAAATAGTACAGTTTGATCCCAGTACCTCCTATGATCCCCCCATCCAGGAGTGATCCCTGAATGCAGAGTCAGGATTAAGCCCTAAGCACTGCTGGGTGTGGCACAAAGACAGATAACCACGTAAATAAAATAATAAAATGTAAGAGTAATGTAATTTTTATGCTGCAAAAAAATGTCCCTCAGTCATCTTGTGTGCCTATTGCAAAGTATAGTAACTTATTATTATCTCTATAATTATCCATGGAAACATGAATAAAAGAAAGAAAACAAAGTTTGGGCTACTTCTGAGAAAAAAATTGTCCACTGTGCAGCTATTCATGCATTTGCAAGAAATGTTAATCACTTACTCATAATTTGTCACTTTACATAAACACTTCACTTGTACTTTATATGTGGAAGCAATGCAGTCTCTCTATGAAGAATACAAACCCTCACTGAATGTAGTGACCACCCTCAAGACTGTTTTCTCTCTGGAAGTCAAGTTTGGCCAAAGCAACAGTGTTATATTTGGCACTGATAGTGGAGTAGTCACCTATTCGAGTTGTTGTGTATTCCAGCACGGTGAGGTGGAAATAATTACCAATCATTAGGGGAAGTGAAGGACCACAAGTCTCTTTCAAAGAGGAAAAGTGCCTGCACTAGAGGCAGGTGGGGGAGGGGGGGTGTAGAAAGGATATAGGGGATGCCGGTATACTGGTGGTGAGATATGTGCACTGGTGGAGGGATGGATGTTGGAACATTGCATGACTGAAACTGTATCTCACAGTGATTCAATTTAAAAAAAGAGTTATGTTTCTTTAACTGAAACTAATGTGTAGTGGTATCTCCAAGAATTAAGTTACAATGAACCCTACCAACGTGATATCTGGTGCTAAGTGTCTGATTCAGGGTATATTTGCTGATACTATGACGTGATTAAACATTGACTTTAATGGTAGTGTTAGAGTACCAAAGGTCCAAAAGGAATATAAGGAAGAAATAAAAATAGAATGCCTTAAGATTGTGGTCAATACCTTTCACAAAAGATACATCTGCCAAGTTCTCTGTCCCCTTTTATAACAATAACTTTTGCCAAATACATGTCTAATAATGTAGATTTATGCCTCCTTTCATTAAACAGATGAGAAAACAGGGGCTGTAGCATATCAAACAGTATAAAGTGCAGAAAATTAAAAATATATCTCAGGAGTTTAAGCCAAAAATAATTTTCTGTGTGCACTTGTTACATGTAAAAACATGATTAATATTTTAAATTATGATTTCGTAAAATTATAGGTGGATCTCAAACATAAAGACCAAAACTACTTTCTCTTCTATAACAGGAAAAAAGAACCAAGCTGATATAACAGGGTTCTGTTTGGGTAAGAATGGACATACATATATAGAGTTCAGATACAAGAGAGTAAATGCTACATCCAATGTTTTCTTTGGCCAATGAAATAAGAAGAAAATTGAAAAGACAAGCAAGCAGAGTAAGGTGGAGATTTGAGGAGAGGAAAAAGGCATAAAAATTGAAAGTAAGTAGTGCAGCATTTTCAAAGAACTGGTGATTACCGGTGATGGTTCAGAATCAGCTCTGGCTGTGAGTCATTCATATATTTACCTTACATATATATATATATATATGTAAATTTAGCTACATTTTTGTAGCTAAATGTACAAAATATACAAAATGTACAAAATAATTTATGGCAAATTATTTCCCCAACTTTCGTTTTCGTTTTACATTCTAAAATAATGATTATAAAATAGTATCTAAAATCATTGCACTGGCAAATATTGGATTGACAGACACCCTTTGCACAGTGAGTGATATGTTCTCAGTCCAAGTCCAAAGTCCACCTAGTATAGCAATTTCAGATTTCTACACAGCTTCCAGCCTGAGCACCGGAGAGAACAATATCTAACTGGAGAAGTAATATCCAGTTCCCACACCAGAAGAAGAGGTAAGTGTCTTCTGGAACTCGTGTTCATAAAGGGGATCATTCATAAAGTTGGAGAAAGGAGTCAAATTCAATTCAGAAATTCAATTTCACATAAGAGCAGGGAGATATGGATGGAGTTCTGCGGATGTCACTTGTTGACAGTAAAGTGGGATGAAGTTGAGACAGAAGGAAGGAGGGAAGTTATAATTATTCAGCTTAATGTAAAGGAAATACAGCAATTAAATGTTGTTAGTTGGCCAGAATTGAGGTGGGTGCTGTCTTTCTAAGCATAGCTTTTTTTTTAGTTACATACTCTATGAGGCCTGGACTGGTGTTCTTCATATGACAGTGTGCTGTATACCTTAGGTTATGAGGTGACTCTTAATAATACTCAGAGGGGATATTTTAAAATTAAAATTAAAAATTAATGTCTATGCCCTCAGATATTATAACGATGTTTTCTTCACAATGATAAGAGAGACTGTCTTCCATTCTCTCATAATTGTTTATTATCTTAGAAGTCAAAGCATAGTCTTTTCCTTCTCTCTCATTACATTTACATTTTTCTTTCTGTATCTAGCGTTGCTAAAGAGACACACTCCTAGGCATTTAGGTGAGGCAAAGTTAAATTTACAACCATTCTGGCAATGGACTCAGCCAGGGAGGATGTAAGAGAGGAGCTGATATGGCCCACACCGAACTGTCAGAACCTAGTGAAAGCAGGAAGGTGAACCAATAGATGCATTCTGATGTGGGTGTAGAAGGTCCTTGGGGGAATCACTGTGGATAGTCAGAGCAAAGCAAGGAATGTCATATTAAACACGAATACCAGAAGGCAGAAAGGTGCATCTGTGGAAGGAAGATCTAGCAGAACATAGTAGTGCCTGAGGAGGGTACTCATATCAAATAAAGGGTAATTGCAGAGGTGAAGAATTTGCATATAGGGGGACTGATTTTTTTTTACAAAGATATATTAAGGATCAAGAGCTGGGAGTCTCACTGAAAAAAGAATGACAATGATAGGAATAAAATAAAAATAAAATTAAATTAGATAAGATCTTTTTCACTGGATTAGAAATGACTGCTTTGATATGAACTCTTAGTTTTCCATACAAATAGATGTAACATTTTAAACAAACATAACCCACAAATGCTTTATCTGTATGAACTTTTCTTTATAGCTAGTGACATGTGTTAGGAATCAGTTTTTAGAATAGTTAGTGCAAAGGGTATTTCAAATCTAGACCAGAAAAACAGCATTAACTGGGAAACTGAAAATGTTTGAACAAAAACTATTGATTAGAGACTAGTATCATATAAATGTTAAGTTTTGTGATTCAATAGTTGTACTAAGATTATGTAAATAATGCTGCCATTAATGGAAAATTGCCAAGGTGTCAAAAGTCAGATGTAATGCGATTTGGAGATGACCACTGGACTGGAGCCATTAACGACAGGATTCCAGGGAAGGTCAAAATATGGTGTGGTTGCCCACCTATGAGATGGTCAGACTTCTTCATCAAGACCATGAACAAATGATTTGAGGCTCTTCGTGTTCCTGGAGTGAGCAGACGCCATTGGGCTACACTAGCATGTGACAGGGACAAATGTTGATGTTACTGGCGCCCACTCAAGCAAATCAATGAGTAAGGGGATGTCAAGTGATCTAGTGATTAAGACACCATCTTTCAAGTTTATAACCCTAATGAAAAATGTATTATAAGTTGGTAGCACTCAAAGAAAGCAACATACTTCTAATACTTTAATTCTCATGACAGTATTTTGTTTTATTTTATTTTTATTGAGGTGCCATTGGTTTATAAGACTGTGAATGCTTATAAGTTTTAAAAGCACAATGTTACCACACCACACTACCAGTAAAGCACAGTATTCCTCCACAATGGTCCACTGATGTGGATTTTCATGGAAGGATCTGACCACTCACCCTTTCTTAGTAACCTCTTTGAGTCCATCGGTTATTGTCTATTCCTTTGCTTTGCTTCTTTACATATCATATTAAGTTCAATCAACCACTATTGGTCTTTTATTTTTTCCAACTTCACTTAACATGAGACTTCTAATCTTATTCATGTTGTAGAAAATGGCACATCTCCCCTTTTCTTGTCTGCGAGTATTATTTCAGTGTGCATCAATATCATAACTTCTTTATCCATTCATGTGTTATTGGGCACTTGTGTTATTCCTAGATCTTGGTCATTGTGAAGAATATTGTAATGAATATAGGCCTGTGTATATCTTTTTCAATTAGTATTTGTGTTCTTCAGTAGAATGGATAGATCATATGGTAGTTCAAAGGATAAAAATAATATTATTTGTCAGTTAAATCTCATCCAGGATGTTAATGAGAAAACAAATATACTTATTTTAAATGTTATATATTTTGCTCAAGTGGACCCAGTAACATCTACATCTTGAGACTTGTTGTTACTGTGTTTGGCATATTGAATATATCTGCGGGCTAGATACTCTCAGTAGCTTGCCAGGCTCTCCGAGAGGGGTGAAGGAATTGAACCCGGCTTGGCTGGGTCAGCTGCGTGCAAGGCAAATGCCCTACCGCTGTGTTATCACTCCAGCCCCGCACCTCGGTTATATATTTGATAGTGTGAAAATCTAAACATAAACCTATTGAAGAAAAATTATCAATAGATCAAAAAATAATCATGCTCACCATGTAAACCAAAGTTTAATGGCCCCTCTGGCTACTGATCAAGCTGCTTAACCGCCATGATCACAGAGACTCACAAACAAATCTCATAATCCAGCGTCTTTTGGCACAAATGCGTCTGGACTTCACATTAGGTTGCTGGTGCTGGACCACCCCAGGTGGGAAAAGGTGCCATCTCACCCCAGGTGCCAATAGGTTTCATGCCTTGGCCTGTTCCCCCTGGCGGCTCGGTGGCCACAATCTTCAAGAGGCCACTGGACAGTCAGGTATGGGCCAGCAGTGATGAGATATGCAGGGCCTCATGGGAGGGGGGTGGAGCCAACCCTTGTCCTCCACTGCCCCAACGAGATCCTGAGTCACGTCCAAGAACGACCTCTGTATCTACTGATCAAGCTGCTTAATGACCAGATCCCAGAGACTCACAAACAAATCTCAGAACCCAGCGGCATTTGGCAGAAATTCCTTCAGATTTAATTATTAAAATTTCAGAATTCCAAAACCATATGCTATTCATAATCAGCAATAGAAAACAAATCATCTAATGTTGCCTTTTAGGCAGGTTTGAGTGTTGGGGTAAAATCCCAAATAATAATGGTGGGTCTGGTGTCAAAATATTGAATGTAATCAAATTAGAGAGAGAGTAATGTGGAAATCATCTGCCACACAGGCAGGGGGAGGGGGTGGGATGGGGAGTATACTGGGGTTTTTGATGGTGGAAAATGTGCCCTGGTGAAGGAATGGGTGTTCCATCATTGTATGACGGGGACTTAAACCTGAAAGCTTTGTTACTGTTCTACAGTGATTCTATAAATAAAGTTATTAAAAAATGTACTTTTAAAATTTAGAATAAAAATGTTAAATATCCCTGAGAGTGTTATTTGGGATAATAACAGATATATATTTTCTCAGTATTATTTTTCAGAGGCCTAGCGATGAATGGAGTACAGTAGGGTGTTTGCCTGGCTGACCAGCCTTCGGTCCCTACTTCCCCTCCCCCACCATGTGGTCTCCAAACCCCCTGGAGTACAGAGCCAGGAATAAGCCCTGAGAACCGCTGGCTATGGCTCCAAAACAAACAAACAAAAAAACAGAACCCTTTGGGCCTGCTGGTTTTGTGTGTGTGTATCTCGCCCGCACGGCAAAGCCTGGCAAGCTACCCATGACGTATTCGATACACCAAACACAGTAACAATTGTCACAATGGAGACATTACTGGGCCCGCTCAAGCAAATTGATGAACAACGAGAGGACAGTGACAGTGACAGTGAAATACATGCAATAAATTTTATGACAAGGATTAAACATATATTATTTGATTATATGTTATGTGTATAAATTTTAGGCTCATAAAATAAATAAAATACTTATACTTGCTTCAACATATATGAACGCACTACCAGTAAAAGAAACCAGGCCTAAATATATTATATGAAGTCGTTTTATGACACATCAAAATGGGCAATTTTACAGAGACATAAATTAGATTAATGGTTTCTGGGGGTTAAGTGGAACATGGTAAGAATTATCAATGACACCATCAGGCATGGGAATTCTTTTTGCATGTTGATAAATGTCATAAAATTAAGTATTGTAGTTGTTTTTAAAGTTCTGTGAATATGCTAAAAGCCACTGAGTTTTACATGAAAGGAAGCATCTGATGATACGTGATAAATAGTTTAACAAAGTCATTATGAGTTTAAAAATAAAACCTTGATCCTTGTTTCTACTGTTCTTTTCTATTAGTCTCATATGAAAATCCCCACTCTCGGTATGTGAAAACCCCTCCTGTGTGGGGATTACATTAACAAATGTTCATGGGCTCTCTGAGCAGCTCTCTCTTGCCACCTGCGTTCAGTGCTCTCAACCCACTTCCCCATCCGACACAGCTGTTGCCTTGGATGGACAAAGGAAGAATGAGGGTCAAGCTGGTTGCTGATTAGTTGCCATTTATTCAGTCTCTCGTGTCTCCCAGCTCTCTCCAACCCTCTCTCTAACTCACTCTACAATTCTCTCCATGACTCCCCTCCAATCTCCCCAGCTGCTCCTACTCTCTCCTCTCAGCCTTCTCTCTAACTCACAGCCTTCTCCTCTAACCCTGTGTCTCTTCTTCTCTCTGTCCCTGGCTCTGTCTCTCTTCAATATCCTGTTCTCTTCTGTCTCTGTGTCTCCTTCTCTCTTCTCCCCTTCTCTCCCCACAGCCACTCTTTTTCTTCTCTCTCACCACGCCTCCCCAACCACGCCTCCCCATGGGAAGAGTGATCAATATGTTTTTCCAGTCTTCCCGACCACCTGCAGCCATGAGGGCAAAAGAGCCCTTCAAGTGTTTCGCCTCTCCTTAGACTTGCAACTCGATTAACATCTTTACTTCTCCTTCCTAATATTCTGTATGGACACAATAATAGACATTTTTAGGCTTGTAGGGTGACTGTCCTGGGGACATCTTGCTACAGACTTAGACTACAGTGCTCAGGCCAGATTAATCATTTATAATCCCAGCAGAGTCCAAATCTAGTTATTACTTTTGGATCATGACAGAACTTGTCCGTTACCAAGCTCTTATAGTTAAGCATTATGGCACTTTGGTCAGGCCCATTTCCATGCTAGGGTAGCTAGCTCCCCTCTTGACCTGGGTCCATCCAATCCCTCATCAGGACCCTCTCTTGGGTATCTAGAAAGTAAGGGCAACTGAGGCTTAAGCCGAGAGAGCAGATGTCCAGGAGGTAATATTATCTGGAGTCAGTGAACTCCCAAGCCACAAGTTTGTCTTTTTAACTGTCTTCCTGTATCCATACAAAAAGCAATTTGCTCTGAAATAACTAACCATGCAAAGGACATTAAAGGAGAAGAGAAAAACAATATTTACAAGTCAGAATCTGATCAGGAGAGAAAGGCAATGACAGGTTGGGGAGCAATCAACAAATACAAGCTTCCAGAGGCCAGAGAGGAAGGGCAAACCAACATTATTCTACAGTATCATATTATAGTTTTTTGTTATATTCCACAAATGAGTGCAGTCGTCCTATATCTGTCCCTCTCCTTCTGACTCACTTCACTCAGCATTGTGTCCATCCATGTATAAGCGAATTTCATAAGTTCATTTTTCCTAACAGCTGCATAATACTTCATTGTGTAGATGTACCATCATTTCTTTAACCAGAGGATTGGTCCACAGTTGGAAGCCTGCTTCAAGTGCTGGGGGAAGGGCTGTTGGGATAGGGAAGCGACCACTATGACAAAGAGAGTTGTAAATGATCACTCTGGATAAGAACTGCATGTTGAAATAAAATACCATATATTACAATATATGTTATCGCAAATCATAATGCCCTGAAGAAGAGAGAGAGAGAGAGAGAGAGAGAGAGAGAGAGAGAGAGAGAGAGAGACTGTCATGGAGACAGGCTTGGAGGAGGGTGGGGAGAGGGAAACTGGAGACATTGGTGATGGGAAATGTACACTAGTGGAGGGATGGGTGTTAGAATACTGTATGACTGAAACTTGACAATGCACAGCTTTGTAACTCTGTATCTCACAGTGATTCAATAAAAAATAATAATGAATAGCGGTAGGGCGTCTGCCTTGCACGCAGCCAACATGGCCGACTCGAGTTCGATTCCTCCGCCCCTCTTGGAGAGCCCGGCAAGCTACCGAGAGTATCTCGCCCGCACGGCAGAGCCTGGCAAGCTCCCCGTGACGTATTCGATATGCCAGACACAGTAACAGCAAAGTCTCCAATGGAGACGTCACTGGGCCCGCTCGAGCAAATCGATGAACAACGGGAGGACGGTGACCAAAATAAATAAATAAATAAAAGTGAATCCTTGACTAGTACATATTCTCTAAAGATATTGATATTGACCTGGAAGAGAGATTTGGGAATTTTAATGTAAAGTTGTGCTGTGGCAAATTCTTCCTTCTATTTCTCCCCTCTACAGGTAACTTAGATTCTAAGGAATCAGTCACTGTGAAGCTAATTAATTCCCTGAAGAGTGTGGCCAAATACATCAGAGTGAAACAGCAAAACATCTTTGACATCTGACAAAACACAGTTGAGTGTTCTAAATTCCTGTTAGAAATTAGCACTCCTAAGTAAGCCTGTGCTTTATTGAAGAGTTGATGTAGAAAAACGCAAATAACATGGTAAGGAACCATCATCTTCTAGCTCCATCTAAAACTCGTTAGAAAAATCAGGCTTGCTCCGTTTTCCCTTTTCAAAGAGAGTCCGCTACTTTTTCTACATAAATTAATTTTCCCATAAATTAATAATGTGTGGTGTAGAACAAGCAGAAAAATAGCAATAGGGGAATTGAATCAGATGTTTAAGTTTTCCCATGAGTTATCATGAAGAAAATTTAGCCAACATCTATTTGAAGAGGTTAGCATTAACAGTCTGAGAGTCTCTACTGAATCTTCCCCACCCTCTCTAGCAGCTTTCCACGCTACTCGTTGCTCTGAACTGCTTCCACAGTATCCCACTGTGGCGGGGAGCCAGAGTTACGTGCTGCAGTTAAGGATTCATCTGAGTTTCCCTTGTTTGTTGAGCTAGTTGCCATCAAATTTTGCATTGTAGGTCTCCTGCCACTGCTTACTTTAAAGAGACCTAGAGCAAGTCCTCTACAAATTGTGTATGTGTAACATAAAGTGCAGATGACTCTAGAACTTGGTGTTTTATCCTTTAACATGTCGTGTCATTGTTCCCATCAGCTGGGCCTTCCCAATGGCTGTGCAGGACAAGCTGCAAGCAGGCAGACAAAACTCCGCTTGGAAACTGGGACTAAGTCTTCTCCTTCATCGGTTATCTGGATTTAGTCTCCATTCACCAACTGCATGAATGCAGCCCTTCAAGGAGAAGGGCCCTTTAGAGCAACATGAAGAGCTCAAGGTACAGGTACTTGGGCTGGAGCTGTAGTTCAGTAGATATGGTGCTTGCTTTGCATGTGACCGACTTGGGTTCAATTTCTGGCAGCCCTTGCCGTTCCCCGAGTATGCCAAGAGTGATCCTGAGTGCAGAGCTGGGAATAAGATTTGAGCACCACTAGATGTTATCCATGAACAAAAGACAAATAAACAGAAATGTACAGGTACTCTAGGAGACCAAATGTTGCCCTATTTGGAGTTTAACTGTACAGTTTTTACTGCATTGCCAGGTGTAGCCCCCAAACAAACAAAAAATTAAAGAAAATGGGAACATATTCCTTGTTTATGGATTAAACAAATTAAAAGTGTCAAAATCATCATCTTACCCAGAGTAATTTACAGATGTTAATCAATCCTCAAATTTCCCATGCTTAGAACCACAGCTATAGCACAGTGTATAAGGACATTTGTCTGGTCTCAGCCAACCAGGGTTCTATACTCCACATCCCATCTGGTACCCTGAGCACCCCCCAGGAGTAAACCCTGAGTACAGGTGTGTGTGACCCCAAACAAAAAAAAATACCATGCCATTCTGTAAGGACATAGAACATGTAACTCAAAATTTAAAATAGAAGCCTAAAATTGCCCAAATAGCCAAAAATTCTGAGAAAAAAAGAAGATGGGAAGAAGGCAATGCATTCCCAGACTTTAATCTTTACTACAAAGATACAGCCATCAAAACTGTGTATTACTCAATAGCCAGAATCTGGAGAAAAACCAAGTGTCTGAGAACAGATGACTGGTTAAAGAAACTTTGGTACATCTACACAATAGAATACTATGCAGCATTAGAAGAAGATGAAGTCATGAAATTTGCTTCTAAGTGTATGGACATGGAGAGTATCATGCTAAGTGAAATTACAGAAAGAGAGGAACAGACATAGAATAGTGCACTAGTTTTGGAATATAAAATAACATAATATGAGACTAACACCTAAGGACAGTAGATATAAGGGCCAGGAGGACCGCTCCATGGTTCCGAAGCCATCCTCATGTGCTAGGGGAAAAAATCAGTTGGGATGGAGAAGGGACCACTAAATAAATGATGATTGGAAGAGTTGCTTGGGATGGGAGATGAGTGCTGAAGGTAGACTAAGAACCAAACATGATGGCCTCTCAGTATCGGTATTTCAAACCATAATGCCCAAAAGGAGAGAGAGAGAGAGAGAGAGAGAGAGAGAGAGAGAGAGAGAGAGAGAGAGAGAGAGAGAGAAGGAAGGTGCCTACTGCAGAGGTGGGGGTGATATGGAGTGGGGGTGGTAGGAGGGATACTGAGAACAATGGTGGTGGAAAATGTGTGTTGGTGGAGGGATGAGAGCTCAATCATTGTGTGACTGAAACTTAATCATGAAAGCTTGTAACTGTATCTTATAGTGATTAAATAATAATTTAAAAATGTGCTACTAGAACAAAGACAGATTCTCAGATAAATGGAATACAATTGAGAGCCCAGATATAAACTCTCAGGTATAAAGACAGTCAATTTACAACAAAGGGGCTGGTTATATGAAGTGGACCTAGGAGAGCCTCTTCTCAACAAATGGTATAGGGTAGGAGGGAGTCACATGCCCCCAGATTAAATTAGACCCCTATTTCACAACATACACAAAATTTTATTTAAAATTCATTAAATACCCTGACATCAAAACTGTCTCAATAAAATGCATTCAGGAAAACACAGACAGGACTCTTGATGATGTTGTCATTAGAGATTTCTTTGATGATACAACCCCAAAGGCAAAGTAAACAAAAGCAGAAATAAGCAAACAAGGCCATAACAAACTAAAACTTTCTGCACTACAGAAAAGTAAAATAAAAATAAAATAAGTATAAAACTAAATGGCCGAAAATAAAAAGACACCCTACTAATGAGGAGAAAATATTTGCACACTATACATCAGACAAAGGACTAAAATCAGCAAAATATAAAGCACTTTCAAAGCTCAACAACAGAAAAGCAAATAACCCCATCCAAAAATGAGAGGAGATCAGGACTGGAGATAGTACATCAGGTAGGGCATTTGCTTTGCACAGGCCAACTTGAGTTCAAGCATAGACATAAAGATTCAAGACATAAAAATGGTCAACTGATATACAAAAAAGTGTCCAGTGTCACTGATTATCAGAGAAATTTAAATCAACACAATGAGATACTACTTCACACGAGAGGATAGTTCATAACAAAAGACTGGAACATTAAGTGCTGGTGGGAATGTGATAAAAAAATAAAAGGGAACTCTTTTTCACTGTTGGTAGGACTTTTTGCATAGTTCAACTTCTTTGAAAACGTTTAGATATTTCTTAAATATTAATAATAAAACTTTCATGTGATCTAATGTTTCTGTTCCTGGGTATTTACCCCCTGAACACAAAAACATTAATCTGAAGGATTTATGTTCATTACAGCATTATTTACAATAGTCAAGATATGTAAACAACTTAAATTTCCCCAAACAAATGACTGGTTAAAGAAATGCTGGCTTATATACACAATGAAATAATACTCAGTTATGAAAAAGACGAAAGTTTGCCATTTTCTGCAACTTGGATGAAATTAGAGGGTGAAATGCTAAGTGGAGTGAGAAAGAAAGTAAAAGACAAATATACGACATTTCTCATATGAACAGTATAAAGAAACAAAGCAAAAGATTAGATAATCCTCAATGGAAACAAACTTTGCAACCTAAGACATGATGAACAGAACTCGGAACAGAGAAGGCTAAAGGAATAGGAAAGGGAGGGCTTGACACACTGATTGAGGATTTGCTACTGCAGTTCTGCAACTATAAACCACTGACTTCACTATTATTGTAAATTAAAATGCCTCAAAATACATTTAAAATTAAAAATAAATAATTGTTTTAATAAAAGGGAAAAAACACAAAGGAGAGAGTATTTGAGAAGAAAAGGGATCCATAATTAAGCCTATTTTTAGGATTTAGGTTAAACTGTGGGGTGAGGAAGAAAAGTCCATGAAAACTAAATAAGAGGATCCCAAAATCTGTATAAAAGGGAGCAAGATCTTACTCCACCAATGGCCTTAGTTTCATAAATAAGCTGATCTTTCCAAGATTCTGCACTCTCTTTCTCTACCACTTGACTTCAGCCTCAAAATTCTCTTCTTATCTCCCTCCTCACTACAGAGTGACCGTCCATCCCCACTGTGTCAGAAGCACATGATCATAGGTTTGCCCTGCTTGAGTCACCCAAGAAATCAGCAAGTCTCTCCAATTTATCGTGGCAGCATCTTTTTATTCTACTTCTGTCTGCAGATACAGGTATTGGTTGCAGGTGAGAATTTATAAGAAATTCTAATCCTTTAAATATGTGGTAAAAATAAGAAGGAAAGTTGAAAGAAAAAAAGACAAAATATCAATATTTAGTGAGCAAAAGCAAACTTTATCCTTCCTACTAAGTACAAGGAACTGTTCTAAGCTTCCTTATTCATATCTTGGTACTGTGTGTGTGTGTGTGTGTGTGTGTGTGTGTGTATGCATATGCGAGCGTGCAAAAATGTAGCTATACATGAAAGGAACAAAGACAGAGAGAGAGTGAAGAATACCTTGATTGTACAAAGAAGCATAAGTTCTGAGACTCTGCAAATAGCATCAAATGAGATTGGCAAAAATAAGCTTGTATGCCCCATTTGCACATCCTATGCTCATGGTAAACATTAATATTTCTCAATATCTTCCCACTGAGCATCTTTAGATATTTTTTTTGTTTTTTTCTTTTTTTGCTTTTTGGGTCACACCCGGTGATGCTCAGGGGTTACTCCTCACCCTGCACTCAAATCACCCTTGGAGGAGCTCTGGGGACCATATGGAATGCTGGGGAATTGAACCCCAGCAAATTACCCTGCCCACTGTACTATGGATCTGGCCACATCATCTTTAGATTCTTAATTAGTATAATTGCTAACTATCAAGTCTAGAGTCCACAGAGTTCCTGTGCAATTCCTTCCTCCTACAGTAGGACAGAACCTGCATTGAAGGTGCTAGCTGATGTTGGTACTGCCAAGCCCTTGCAGTCACACCACTTTGCTGCTTCCCACACCCTACAGTGAGTGAGTCACTTGGGTTGTTTAGACAAACACTGACCCCTAGGATCTTGCTGACCATGAAGTTGCACTGATTTCGTTTTTCTTTAAATTTTATGAGGATAAAGGAAATCTTTTTACACTGTTGGTGAAACTATTGCATGGTCCCTTCCTTGCCTGATCTTAGCCGATCTACACTTCTCACTTAGGATGCTTCCAGCTTCCTCCTAGCAAATATAAAAGTAGACTCAACACTGCCACACTCCCAGGATTCAGTAGCTGAAAACTTTAAACTGACATTGTTCCCGGGACTTTATGTTATCGAATCTCCTTAACTGGCCCAAATCGTCCCTCAGTCATCCTTGACTCCCTATCTGTTCTCTGATATTGCTGTTGGTTTGGATTTGTGGTTGGGGGCCGAGGTGTTGTGGTGAAAGGAGTTTGTTCTATTCTTTATGTTTATTTCTTTAAAACTTTTTAATTTTTATTAAAACATTGTGATTTACAAAGTTGTTCATAATACACTTGTTTTAAGTGTACAATATTCCAACACCAATCCCACCACCAGTGTGACCTTTCCTCCCTCAGTGCCCCCAGTTTCCCTCCCAGTCCCCTAGCCTACCCCCCTTGGCTGGCACATTACAAATTTACTTCATGTTGTCTGCTCAAAAAAAAATGGGAAATTCAGCAAATAAACCAACAAAATTTGTGATGATTTATTACTATATAATCTTAACCTATGTGAATAAACAAATCTAAAATTTTTAATACAATATAATCTAACATTCATTCTCATTTACAAAAGTATATTTTAATTCTGGCATCTAAAATATAGTGCATTAAATTTATTTTGTACTTGGGTTTCATCGTGGTAATCATCATGTTTTCCCTATCATTAATAAAACTTTTTAAAAAAAACATTTGCTAATATATTTCAGAGTTTTCATGGAATAGGTAAAGCCTACAAATGAAGATTTTAGTAAGAGTGAAGAGAATGAAGAACATTTTAAGGGTAAATCTGAATAGGCCTATAAGCTTAGAGTTTTATCCTGAGAGAGAATATCAGTTTTATATAAGAAAATATGTAATTGATGCTAATGCTGCTTAAGTGTCTAATAAGACTGGAATAAAAATCTCTTTGAATGAATAAGACCTATAATATTAAACGTAAGTGAAACATTCATCATTTAAAATGTATAAAATCCCTTAGCAAGCTGGGAGTAAACTTATATTCCTTAACCTAGTGGAGGGCAACCATAAGCATCACGACTTAGTGCCATATTCAGTGCCACATGCTGGGAAGTCTGATTTGTCCTTTAAAGAAGCTCCTTTCTTGCTTTTTGTAAAATTGGTTTCAGGTCCATGAATTCCCTAAAGTGTTTTCTATCCCTGAAGCTCTGTATCATTCCTTCAAATATGAATCATAACCTAGCTGAATAGTATATTCTTACTGAAGTGCTCATTTCATTGAATTTTTGTACTATATTCCTCCATTCTCTTTTGACGCAAATAAAAAAATGTCATTTTACAGATCTTCTGTGAGTCTTATAATATTTCCTTTGTCTGTAATTTCCATATTTTTATTCTCGCTTCTTTCGATATTCTGTCTCTATCTTGGAGTTTGTTGTTTAGAGGATGTTTCTTGGAATGTTCCTAGTTAAATCTTATTTTTGCTGGGACCTTTTAGACCTCTTCTCAGTGCCTGCATTCTTCAATACTAGGAGAGTCTTATTTATGATTTATTTAACTATTGATTTTTCAAATATTTGCCTTCCTACTCGTCTAATGATTCTTATATTGTTCCATCATTCTCTAATATGCTATTCATTTCTTTCCAGATTATTTTCCATCTTTTGTTGTTTTCTAGTCTTTTCCTCCATCTCATCTTTGTGCTCCTCGATCCTTTACTCAGCTGCTGGTCAGAACTTGTATTGGCTTTGTTTCATTTCATTTGTTTCTTCTTCGTTTCACTTGTAATTTTCACATTTCAGCACTCATGCTTCCTTGTGCTTCGCTGACTTTCCTGACTACCTGTAATGCCATTGTTTCTTTGAGTTCGTTTTTACATACAGGAGTGTCACTGAAGTCATTGTTTGGGGATTTACTGAGCTGGTTAGTACTGGTTGAGCCTCTGTGTTAATGCCTTTGCTAACTGAGTTTGGTAAACTTCTATAAGTCTTTCCAATCACATTTGCTGTGTTCATACTATGCTGGTGATAGTGTGAAATTTGTGGGAGCTCTTGCAGAGTGACATATGCAGCCACTTGCTTCAGGAACAGTCAGACTGGGCCCATTGAAACAGGGTAGAAGGTCAGATTTGGGGGCTGACAGTCATAGCCAGATGACAGTGGAATCAACCTGCCCCAATTTCCAAAAGGCCTCACAGTCTTACAGTTTTCAGTAAATGTTGATCTCTCCAGAAGGGTCAGCATAAGGTAGAGGTTCCTGTTCTTTGTTTTTCAGGAGCATTCCAAGTCCAGGGACCCAGTGAACCTGTGGTGGCCATCCTAGGTGGAGTAGCTGAACTGCCATGCTCCCTTTCACCTCCTCAAAGTGCAAGGAACATGCAGATTCGCTGGTCCCGCTCACTGACCTCCCAAGTGGTGCATTTGTATAAGAATGGGATGGACCAGCCTCAGGAAACACTGGAGGAATATAAAGGAAGGATAAAGCTTGTGAAAAATGTGATAAATAAAGGAATTGTGGTCCTGAGAATCAATAATGTCCGACCTTCTGACAACGGGCAGTACTACTGTCGATTTCAAAAAAACTCCTTGGACAACCATGCAGTGATTGAACTTAAAGTGGCAGGTAATTGCCCACATTTCTTTCCTTGAATTCCCACCAGGGTGATATTATTCAGGGATGAATTTCCTCTGAGTTCCTATGAAATATAAAGAAGACATAGGAGAAAGGGAGATTCCACTATTTTTCTTGTTTATCAGTAATCCATCAGTTACTCCTTAGAAACACATGATTTAGAAAAGCCTTCATGGTTTGCAGATAGATAATAGATTATATAGAGAGTCATAGTGGGAGTCAAAAACAGACAAAGCCATTTGTAGTGGACAGTGTGTACTCCTCTCTAGTCCAATCTATATTGTCTAGAAGATCTCGTTGGATGTTGATAAGACATCATCACATCCTAGGTTTCATGTTCTGCATATTAGAGTTTGGAAAGCATCAATTAACAGTTCAGAAAATAGGAGGGATATATAGAGTAATGAGCTTATAACCTGATATCTCTCTTTCCCTCTTCCTAGTTCTGGGCTCAGATCCTCACTTCAGTATAGCAGTTGCTAAACTCAGTCATATCCAATTAGAGTGCAAGGCAGAAAACTGGTTCCCTCAACCAAAGATGCAGTTGATGGACTCCCATGGAATGATAATTCAAAATGTGTCTGAGTCTCAGAATCAAGACCAAAGAGGCCTATTCCATGCAACAATAAGTTTGTTAGTCACAGAAACTCTGCAAGAGACTATGACCTGTTCTGTCTGGAACCCAGTATTAAATCAGGAAAAGAAAAGACAATTATCCGTATCTGGTAAGTTTCCTCTACCTCCATAGGTCCCTAAAATGTACGTATATGCTCACAGCTCTTGTCCACCAACATGGAATATTTTTACTCTCACCAGATCTGCTCAGTTCTATTTTCTATCATGCACACCAGACTTGCTGCTGAGACCCAAATTTGTTCCCCTTTTTTCTTCACCACTTCCCTTTCATGAACAACTTTTCCAATCCTTTCTTTTACCTTTGACAAGTTTTTCCCCCAATTTTTATTAAAATACTATGAATTGAAAAGTTATTCGTAATTGGGTTTTTGGCATACAACATTTAATCACTAGTGTCAACTTCCCTAAACCAGTGAGGTTCCCTCTCCTATCCCTTCACCCCACCCCCAGTGTGCAATCTTGACAGGTATCTTTTAAGTTTGGTTATTAAAGTTTAGGTCTCACGATTTCAGTATTGTTGAGCCTTGTTTGGATATTTAACTTTATCATTCCTTAACATGACCACTGTAGCTACACCCCTGACCGCTGGTCCTGTTGCTTCTCATTTATCTCTTCTCCCCTTCTACTTCTCTCTATTTTTTCCTTCTCCTCCCTACAATATGGAGGCAAGAGTGTTCTAGTCAACGCTCCTAAACCACTGTGTTTTCTCATCCAGTTACTCTAAATGCCACATCTAAATGATATTACCCTATGCTTATTCTTCTTCTGACTTGCTTCATTTAACATGGTATCTTCCAAATGTATCCATTTTGCAACAAATTGCATGATTTCATCATTCCTTACAGCTGCATAATATTCCATTGTGTATATGCATGTGTATCTATACACACAATGGAATTATATGTACATCATATTTATCTATTTATATATCATATCATGATCCACGGATTTGTTGTTAGTTATCAAAGTTAATTACAAATCTTAGCTATTGTACTAAGTACTGCCATGAATAACAGTGTACATATATGCTTTTGAATTAATGCTTTCCTGTCCTTGGGGTAGATACCCAAATGTGAATTTCTGGTCATATAGTAGCTCAATTTTAAGTTCACTGAGAATTCTCCATACTGTTTTCCATATGGGCTGAACCAGACAACATTCCTCACGACCAGTGGATGAGAATTTCTTTTTCACCACCTCTCCCCTTACCCGCCAAACACAGATTGTTCCCATCCTCATCCTAGTTCACATCCTCATAGAATTAAAACTTATCTTGGTCCTTTCCTACAGCTATTTATAAAAAAAAAATCACAGACTATGTGTCATAAATAAAGAACTTTAGTTTTCACAATTCAGAAGCAGCCAAAATTAGTGTGCCAATGTGCCAGTAGGTTCTGTTCTAGACAAAATTTCTTTACAAGTTTCAGACTGCCAGCTTATCATCCTGTCCAAACATAATGAAAGGGGTGACGGAGTTCTTGGGTCCTCTTTTATATGAGTAGCAGCCTCACAAACCAGAGAAACCGCCTACAAGCTCCATTATTTTATTATATAATTACATATAAAATATATAAATAATAATATTTATAAGTATTTCAACATATGGATTTGGAGCAGATTCAACCGTTCAGACTAATGCACTCTTTGGCAAGCCACTTTCAAATTTTCTTTAATAGACTAATCTCTCCTAATTCTCTTTGTAAGATTTACCTGGTGTCTTTTTATTTATGCCCTCTTTTTATCAAGCACTGTATTTGTCTGTAAAACTGAATCAGTTAACAATGTTATAATAAAACATTTTGAAATTTTATGAGGTTTCTGAGAAAAAATCATGTTTGGTGGGACAGTGGTAGATGTAGGAGATATTAAACAAAGTAAGCCACTTACTGCATACATGGCCTACAGTTAAATCCTCAGCACCTGGTCCCCTGAACACAAGACTGATACCTAAGCCCTGAGCACCTCTGGGTATTTAGTTCTAACACTCCCCCCTTAAAAAATTATTAGAATTTTTAAATTATTTTATTTAGATAGGGCAGGAGCGATAGCACAGCGGGTAGGGCATTTGCCTTGCACGCAGCCAACATGGCCGACCCGAGTTCGATTCCTCCGCCCCTCTCGGAGAGCCCAGCAAGCTGCCGAGAGTATCTCGCCCGCATGGCAGAGCCTGGCAAGCTCCCCGTGACGTATTCGATATGCCAGACACAGTAACAACAAAGTCCCCAATGGAGACGTTACTGGGCCCGCTCGAGCAAATCGATGAACAACGGGAGCACAGTGACAGTGATTTTATTTAGACACTTTGATTTACAAAGTTCTTAATAACTATCTCAGGGACTGGATTCAAACTGGACTCCAAACCCACCACCAGTGCTAGAGTTTTGAGGGATTCTGTAAAAATAATATTCATTGCAATTGCATAGATAACTTAAAGGACTAGAGTGCAAATTTTGCTTGCAGGAGCCCCAGTTTAATCCTCAGCACTGCAAGAAGCAATCTCGAATCACTGAGTCAGAAGCAGCCCTTGAACACCATGAGATGTGGCTTTGATTTTGACGAATATTGTTTTCATTTATTTATACCTCATTTCCTTATTTCTACCAAGTAATCTTGTGCTGCCTGTTTTCTTAACTTCTCTTTGTACTTTTTCTACTTCCTTTTATAGAGTCTAATCACTCAATAATGATTTTTAAGTCCATAATTAAATGTTTGTATCCATCTATTCTATGGCAATATTTTTCAAGTAAATGTTGATTATTCTTTTTCTTTCTTCCCATTCGTTATCTTTCTTCATGTTATTTTTGTAAAGCTCTTATGCCATATTCATTTTCTGCATTTTCTTTTCCTGGACCAGCAACTTTCCACAAGTTCAAGTGAGGCAGAGAGGCTGGTACAATTTTTCAGAATTACTGAAATTTCTAGGACAGAAATTTTATTATATCCTTTCTACAAATATTACTCATCACTATGAATGACAATTTAAGTGATTACCTCTGCTTCTCTGAGCAAAAAAAAAAAATGCAATCAGAATTGCATACCTAGATTCTAGAACCCTTTGTTAAAAGCAAGCATGTAACTTTGATCCTCACCTTCAGTAAGTATATTTTTGCTGGTTCTTTCTATTTGCCAATGCATGGTCTACTCATCACTCAATGGACCTCTTCAGTTTCTCCCACATGGGCTTATAAGTGATTGTAACTGTTTTGAGAAGCCTGTATTCCTTTCTTAACATCTGCTGTCTATGGTGAAGGGATGGGTGTTGGAATATTGCATGACTCAAACCCAATCATGAACAACTTTGTAACTGTGTATTCATAGTAATTCAATTTAAAAAAAAGCTGGTGTCTAGAAGCTCAGATGATAGAAAGGGCTGGCACTCATGCACTCATCCTCTGCATGCTGGACACTTCCCTTAATACAGATTGAGCGATGGAAAAGAAAAGGAACCTACTGTATAATGTAGGTAGGTTCAGTAAAAATAAATCATTCTCAGAGAAGCTTTTAGATGAGGTGATTGTCATCATTTAAAATAATTTGAAAATAAGAGAAACATTAGGAAAATAAAGTTAGTCCAAAATCCTTTGAGAGGGCTGAAGAGAGCACTGTGGTTTAAGGGCTTGCTTCTATGGAGCCGAACTAGATTGCATCCCTGGCATTCCATGTGGTTCTCCAAGCATGACCAGAAGTGATCCCCATGTACAAAAGAAAGGCCTAAGCACAGCCAAGTGTGGCCCAAACAACAACAACAACAACAGCAACAACAAGTTTTTAAAAACTCATTTTAAAAAATGAAATCCTTAAATAAAATCCCTAAGTCGATAGTCCACAAGTAATGAAAGCAAAGTTCTATTTTTCTGTCAATGATCTTTAGACAAAATTATTATATAATATTTTAGTATAACATTGAAAGGATAAGTAACAATTTTTCATCTGATTTCCCTTTTTTTGTACTCTTTCTTCACAATTTTTTTATTCTCAGAAACGTTAATATTCTTTGACATTTTTAAATTTTTTTAACTTTCAAAATTTAATTAAAGAACTTAGATTTACAAAGTTATTGATAACTGAATTTTAGGTATATAGTATTTCAACGCAATTCCACCACCAATGTCAATGTCCCTCCACTAGGGTCCCCATATTTCATCCCCACCGTTATCCCCACCCTTACCTCCCCCCTCCTGTCCACTTGATAGGCACATTACAAAGTCTGTGAGGGGGATCTGACTGTTATATCTATCACCTCATTGATTGCCAGGATTGATTCAGCTGATCTTGCTGGCAAACTGGGTGTCCTCCTTTTTCTCCCTCACAACTCCATGTGCATCCCTCCTGACGCTGCGCACTTGGTGGAAGAGGACAGGCTTTCTCAAATACAGGTTGACAATTCTTCAGTGGAGAGTATATGAGTGGCTGTGCTCCCCTGATAAAACCTCCGAAAAGCTCACAGAGTTTTTAACATTTTTTGTTTTTAATATTTTTAGTTTTTTATTTTGGTTCATACCTGCTGGTGCTCAGGACATACTCCTGGTTCTGCACTTAAGGATCACTCTTGGAAAAGCTGGGGCAACCTTATGGGGTGCTGAAGATTAAACCTGGGTCAGGTGTATGCAAAGGAAGTGCGGTACCCACTGTACCATCTCTCTCCATTCCTACACAAAGACTTTTTGGAGATAATGTCATACCTGATACCTGAGGAGTGAGAAAAAGCCAATGAATAAGAATGGTGATGGAAATGATTAAAAGTCTTTCACTGAGAAAATTCAGACTTGTTTGACTTCAATCACCATTGTCAGACCTGGGCTTGGTCCAAAAGTGGAAATATTGCAGTCCTGAAATACTAAACTCCAATGCTTCACACTTTAATTATTTTCCAATTTTTATATTTTTCAAACCAATAGGTACTTCGGTTCACCTCATTCTTCCATGCTGTCTCATGCTGCCAGCCTCAACCCATTTTATTTTTTTTATCTCAATTTTATTTTTTTCTTTTTTTATTAGTGAAACACCATGAGGTACAGTTATAGACTTACAAATTTTGTGCTTGGGTTTCAGTTATACAATGATCAAGTACCCATCCCTCCACCAGTGCCCATCATCCACGACCACGGGTCCCAGCATCCCCCCCACCCCCCGTCCCCCCCCTCCCATCCTGCCTCCGTGGCAGGGTATTCCCCCTTGTTCTCTCTCTCTTCTTTTTGGTACTGTGTTTTGCAAGAGAGGCATTGAGTGGCAATCATGTTTGGTCTATCGACTACTTTTAGCATGATTCTCCCACTCCCACCCTGGGAGGGCCCTCACAACACCCTTCATTTGGTGCTCTCTTCTCTATCTGAGCTTCCTTTTCACCTAGAACGTGTGGCTGGCCTTCCAGTCATGGAGCAAAATTCCTGGTACTAATCTCAGCCATTCCTGGGTGTTAGTCTCCCTTTTTGTTGCTTTATGTTCCTCAGATGAATGCAATCTTTCTGTGTCTATCCCGCTCTTTCTGACTCATTTCGCTTAACATGATACTTTCCATGTAGTACCACTTGTATGTAAATTTCATAACTTCATCTTTTCTAACAGCTATATAGTACTCCATTGTGTAAGTGTACCAAAGTTTCTTTAACCAGTCATCTGCTCTTGGGCACTCAGGTTTTTTCCAGATTCTGGCTATTCTCAACCCATCTTAAACACAACAACCTCCTCTTTTCCATACTCTCAATTCTATTACATTGCTTGCTTGTCTACCATTGGAGTCATTACTGAACAGGCTACCTGAGTGACATAATATTTGAATGGAATTTTATTTACAATTTAAACAAATAGTGAAAGGAAAATGGAGAGAGATGAAGGATCTACAATGTACTGTTGCTGAGGATCGTATTATAGGTATTTCAGTGAACAAAAAGTCAGTGTGGGAACTACTCTCTTAATAAAACTCACCGGGAAACCTCTCTATATTTCAGTTTCTGAGCTCTCCTCCAGTTCATCAAGTGTCACAGAACGCGCGCTGTGGGGAACATCTGTGGGGATACTATTGATTATCATAATCATTGGGATTTGTCTATACTTTAAAAAAACGCGAAAAGGTAAAGATATTTTTTTCTTTTAATATCAAACATCCCTTTTCAGAGATATCTATTCTTCGGTATTCCTCTTCGAAAGCACATTAATAACAGTAAAGACTCCATTCAAAGGAAATCATGTCTAAGAAATTCCAATCCCCTAACTGTAAAAATATGAATTCGTACTTTCTTTGTGCAACTTCTGTGTGGCTTAAAAAAACTATTTGTACAAATTGCATACAAAGTATATCTACATAATGCCAATATAAAGGCATCTGGTGAAAGGTGACTATTATTATTGTTATCATTATCACCAGGTGTGGGAGAAAATATAAAAGATAGAAAAGGAAGTATCAGGGATGGAAGAACCAAATATCCATGATACGCTAACTATGCATATGGCATATGAGGCATTCAATGTTTCTGAAGTATTAAATTGACCTTCCTTGGGTGATACTCATTCTGGCACCATATATCTCTAGTATAAGAAACGTGGATTAAAATATATCTCAATAAGCCAATCAAAGAGGCACAGCTATGCTATGGATATTTTCCCAACGTATGTTCATATGGGCTCAGATACACTGCTGAGTCTCCCTTTTCAATTCCAGTCTTTGTAACCACACAATCACTAACAGTGGTTGATTAGAGAGAAGACAGGACTTATGACCACTGCATAATACATGATTTATATAGTGCACTTGCAAACTACTTCATTCTTTTTGCTTAATTTATCAATCATTGATTTAAGAAATTCTATATTTTGAGTTTCTTAATTTGGCATAGGCTTGTTTAAAAGAATTCCTTATTACCCATTTAATGCCTTAATGTTCTTTCTTTATTCCTGGTGTTGGAACTTTGGGTCTAATACTTTTTTCTCAATTAGCTAGAAATTTTCCAAGTTTATTGATGTTTAGAAATAACTGCTTTGATCTACTGACTTTTTATTTTGATTACTAATAAGCTATTTTATTGACATTGCTCTTAATTTAATTTCTTATTTGTATTTTGCTTTTTCACAGTTTCTTGTGGTGGAAACTTAATAGATTGGTTTTAGGCATTTGTTCTTTTCTAACATAATCTCTAAGCATTTATACTGTTTTCTTCTCAAGCCTGTCTTAAAATGCTTTATAAATTTTTATATGCCATGTTTTATTTCTCAGATAGTCATCAAAGGTGCTCCACAACTGAAGACAATTGATAGCATGTTCCATGAATCTGCAATTTCATCCTGAAACACAAGCTAAGTGCACTGCCCTTTTCATTCTCCAGTACCACAAAGGACTGTTCAATCTCCACTGCACCCCCACTCCATCATCTGTGAACACTTCAACTAAATTTGGGACCCTTGGACATCACAACAACAACAAAGGGAAGGAGAGAAAATTCCAATTTTCCTTGTTATTTTACTTTAATCCATGAAGTATTTATAAATGTACCAGTTTCCAGATAGATTTCTTAAGATATCCCTAATTTATTATCATGATGGTACAAAAACATGAGTATTAATATTATAATGGTGCCCTTGCCAAGATCTTTGAACGTGTTGTAGTAAAAAATTACTTTATATCACTGGGGATTGCACTCATGAACTCGTGGTTGCTCAAAAGTTTCCGAAGTCACCAGGGTAAAAGGATATTCTGGGAATTCCTAACAACGGAGCTGTCATGATTGTCTCCAGGCTGAAGACAAGAGGCTGGGAAAGCGTATTAAACAGTTGTTTCAGGAACACCCAATACTGTAATCATTTTAATCTATTGAGATTTGTTTTCTTGCTCAAAATACAGTCTAAAAAGATGGTTGATACTATTTCTATCTTCCTGATTCTATTGAGGTATGTTTTGTGGCCTAGTACATGGTCTATTTTGGAAAATGTTTCGTGGGCACTGGAGAAGAATGTGTATTCTTTCTTTTTGGGGTGTAAAGCCCTGTATAGGTCTATAAGCCCTTTCTCTTCTATTTCTTCTTTCAAAGCCAGTGATTCCTTGCTGAGTTTTGTTCTGTTGATCTATCCAGAGGTGATAAGGCGGATTGCCACTCAATGCCTCTTTTGCAAACCACAACACACAAAAGGAGAAAGAGAACAGAGGGGAATGCCCTGTCTTAGAGGCAAGGTGGGATGGGGGCGGGGAGAGATACTGGAATCCGTGGTGCTGGGAAATGGGCACTGGTGGAGGGATGAGTATTTGATCATTGTATAATTGAAACTCAAGCACAAAATTTGTAAATCTATAACTGTACCTCATGGTGCCTCACTATTAAAAATTTAAAAAATAAATAAATAAATAATAAGCAAAAAAATACAGTCTATCTTAGTAAATGTCCTGTATGAACTTATAAACAATATGTATTCCACTGTTTTTGCGTGAATTATCTTGTAATACGGCAGAGCCTGACAAGCTATTCGTGGTGTATTTGATATTCCAAAAACAGTAATAAGTCTCACAATTTGTTGTGAGACGTTACTGGTGCCCACTCGAGCAAATCAATGAACAACAGGAGGACGGTACTACAGTGCTACAATGCTATCTTGTAAATACCAGTTTGGTCAAATTGACTGATGTCATTCAAGTCTTCAGAAACTCTCTCATCCCCCTCTACCGCTGCTGTTCTCTGTGATACCACGTTTGCTCACATTTCTATTCCTTCTCTGGGACTGTTCCATGAATGTGCATATCTCCTCCTGCCTTGAGTTATATGTGTGTTTGCAAATGTGTGCTCATGTATGTGACACAACAATATTGAAGCTCTTACTTCCCTTGTTCAAAAGCTTTGGTATCCCAAATCTCCAGACACTTTGGCTGAGACAACAGAATTCTGAATCTGAAGAGACCATTTTGGCAACATTTATGGTGCTCACAATTAGGTCTGGGCTCAAGGTCACAGAAAGAGATTCAGTTTCTCTCCCTTGCTACCTTCTCCTACACAATATCAATCTCTCTAAATGCTTGAAGGATAAATTTATTTTGTAATTTGGCATTATAAAAATTATTTCCATAATTTGGAAATCCACTGATATTACTCGCTAGTATAATTCATTAAAAGTGTTTACAGTAAGTAGCTAAAGGGATTTACCTGATAACCTTTCAGCATCTGTGTTGTAAACTGCAATACCAAAGGAGAGGGAGAGAATAAAGAAGGAGAGAGAGAGAGAGAGAGAGAGAGAGAGAGAGAGAGAGAGAGAGAGAGAGAGAGAAGAAAAATGCCTGCCTGCCATAGAGGCAGGTGGGAGGGTAGCTGGTGACATTGGTGGTGGGAAATGTATATTAGTGAAGGGATAGGTTTGGGGACATTATATAACTGAAGGAAATTTTCTTTTAAAAAAATCGATTCTGGGGCCTAATAATGAGTCACTACTTGATGTCATAGGTGTTGGGGCCACCAGAGCCAACCTGGAAGTGCTGAGGAGCCATCAGGATCTTAACTGGCAGTTACTGAGAACCATTAAGGGCAACACTGATGGTGCTCCAGGGTCCATACAGGGTCAATAATTGAATTTGGGTTCTTGCCTATGCAAAACTTATGCCCCTGACCTGTTTTCTTGATACAAAATGTATTCTGATTCTTTGGGAAAAATGTTTTCTACTTTACCCATGGAATTGAAATGTATTCCTTTTTGCTTTTTTTAAGCCACTTCTATTGATATATTAAGATTTAAATTGCTCTTAATTATACTTTTTACATTACATTATTCTAATACCACATCCATTATTAGAGAGCCCACTTTCTTCCAACAGTATTGCTATGATTCCTCCCAACCCCTGATTCATGTAAGCTCAGTTTTATAGACAAAATATCCAATTCTAATTCCTTTGACCATTCATCTTGGAGATTTCCAATCTTTTCCTCAGTTGCTGTTATTCTGCTGCTCATACCTCCTGTGAAGTTTGTTTCTTACATCTCCTACTAAACTCCTCATTTCTTTTACTTCTGACAGTAGTTTCATCATTTCTTCTTTCATATTTTGTTATGGTTTGATGACTACCTGTACTACCTGTGTTCCTTCATGCTCACTAAACATCCTCCCCATGATATTACTAAAGTGATTCTCTGAGGATTTACTGAACTGATTTGTGTTGGTTGAGCTTTCCATGGTTTATGTTTATTTGTTTGGTTGATTGATTAGTTGATAGGTTTTTCTCATTGAACTTGGTGGAATTCTTCATATCTCCCTCACTGGAATTGCAAGTAACAAGTACTTATATATAAAAAAAAAATGTTACATGTAAATGGATTAAATTTTCCAATTAAAAGATACAAAATTGTGTTTTTCCCACAATACTTATCTACTTATCTGTTGTTGTACATTATATTTGCTTCTATATCATGATTATTGTAAGTAATGATGAGATTAATATAGGTGTGAATAAGTACGTTCAGATTAAAGATTTTATGTTATTGGGATAGATGCCCAAGAGTGGAACTGTAAGATGGAATTGTAAGATATGAAAGCTCTATCCTTAATTTTTTAGAAGTCTTGAAATATTTTTCAAAGAGGCTGAAACAGGCAGTAATCCAACCAACAGTGAATGTGAATTCCTTTTTTGCCAAATCCCCTCTAGCACTTATTGCTTCCAGACTTTTCGATGTTACCTTTTCTTCCTAGTATGATGTGGTCACTCATTGTCATTCTGATTTTCATGTTTTGATAATCAGTAATAATTAATATTTTTTTCATATCTGTCTTGAATACTTTTGTCTTCTTTGAGTACTTGGCTGTTCATCTCCTCTCCCCAATACTTGATGAAGTTGTTTGCTTGCTTTTTGTTGTACTTTGAAGGAAGTTTATATTCATCACAGCACATAGAACATTCTCTAAGACACACATGTCAGATCACAAACAAACCTTAACTAATTTTTAAAAATTGAAATCTTGGAAGAAAAAGAATGGAAAAAGTAGGAAGGACAGGAAATAGGAGGAAGGAAGAGTAAATCAGCAGAGGAATTTTACAGCAGAGAAATTTCCCTGTATGACAATGAAGGATACATGTCATTATGCTCTCCAAACCCATGGAAACTCAACTCCTAGATTTTAGGGGAGGTTTGGAGGAAATCACCAGAGGTGCTCAGGGATTATTCTTAGCTCTGTACTCAGGAATCACTCCTAGAAGTCCTCTGGGGGCCATCCAGGATGACAGGGACAGAACCCAGGTCAACAACATGCAAGGCAAATACCCTACCTGCTGTACCATCACCCCAGCCCCCATAAGTTCCTAAGTTTTTTTTAAAAAATAAATATCCATATTGTTTCTCAGAGAGGCTGGATCAGCCGACATTCCCACTAGCATCGAATGAGAGTTCTTTTCTCCCTGCACCCATTCCAGTACTGGTTCTTCTTGGTCTTTTTGATGTGTTCCAATTACTATAGCAAGAGATAATATTTCATTGTTGGTTTGACAAAATCATCCCTTTTTTCTAGCAAAACAACTGTTTTATCAACTCCATGGCAAGGAGAAGTTTTAAAATTATTTTAAACATACCCCACTTTGTTAATCTCACTGAAAGAAATTGCTTCTTCTATAATTTTTTGAAAAGTTACTAATATACTATCTTCTTCCCTGAGTATTTTTCCAAGTAGTTTGTACTTTCCACAGGGATTTAAAATTCTCCCTAGTTCTTTCCGGCCTCAGTTTTATATATAGTTTATTAGAATCTTACCAACTATCAGTGAGAATCAGCATTCATTCCCTAATGCCAATTTCCCAAGAGACTCAAAGACATTGTCCAGTCATTAATTGGATCTAATTCTAGGGATAATTAATCTATGGCGTAGATATACATTGTGAAAATACAACTTTAAATTTTTTAAATGAGGAGAAAATTGCTTTCCCTGTTAATAAATTAAAGTGTCAATATTAGGTGATTAAAATAAAAATACAATAACACAAATGTTAGTGTATGTAAACTAGGGATTCACTAGTATATATCATTATAATAGAACAGGAGTTCCAGAAAAAACAAAGTTTTATCTAAGTGTTTTCTTGATAAAGGTTATAGTTCATATCAATCATATCAAAGTCTGATAGTTCGGTAAATAATATTGAACCAATGAGCTTAAAGTCAGGCAAAATTTAAAATATGGATCTTAAAGCACAAATTAAAACTCATATTACTTGTGTCTGGATTCAAGATCTACTATTTACTAACTTCAAACTGAAGAAAATTATTAAATCGTCTTGTGTCTCAATTTTCTCATATGTCAAATGAAGATAATTATACTTCTTTCTCCAGATCGTTATTGAAGAGATTATATTAACATATGTACATATTACAGGACTTGTTCTATTATAAGCACTATTTGTACTATATTTAAACACAGTGATTTACAAAAATTGCTCATAATACAGTTACTGGGCTGGAGCGATAGCACAGCGGGTAGGGCGTCTGCCTTGCACGCGGCCAACATGGCCCACCCGAGTTCGATTCCTCCGCCCCTCTCGGAGAGCCTGGCAAGCTACCGAGAGTATTGGATATGCCAGACACAGTAACAACAAAAGTCTCCAATGGAGACGTTACTGGGCCCGCTCGAGCAAATACAGTTACTATGGGCAATCAGTGTTCTAACACCAATCTCACTACCAGAGTGACCTTACCTCCACCATTGTCCCCATTTTTCCAACAACTCTCCAAGCCTGCCACCTCAGCAACCACAAAATAATTTATTTACATTGCTTGTTACAAATAAATGGTTAATGGGACTATAAAAAATACTTCTGTAAAAGAAAATTTGTAAAAATTGTTCTATCTCACTGTGGGGTCATTGAATCCTTGTCTGAGGGTTTACTAAGCTGTGTGCTGCCAGTTAACTTTCTGGGTTATACTTTTTGTTTATTAAGCTTAGTTGGCTTCTATGTTACTTTCCCATCGAGTTTGGCATGCTCCTCCTGGATTGTGGAATTTGAAAGTGTTGCTCCAGGAGTCCAGGATGTGTAGAGCTGGGCCGACAGATGAGGTTACATGGCAGTGGTATAATGACTACACTTATTACAATTGCAAACTTACTCCTTAGTTCCAAACAAATTTTTCATAAATTGAAAAGAAAATCCATAAAACAATTCAAATTACCACTAAAACCAT